CATCGTTTGATATTTAAAAATATTCCGTTTTTAATGCTTATATGAATAAGAATTGATACATTTCGAAATTTTTTTTATTTTTATATAATTAATATAAAATCTCTAAATTATTGTATTATTGTCTAATTATACATAGATATATTAATTGTTTTATGTCGTAGGGAAAAAAATAATTTATCAATTTCTACAAAAATAACTTCTTCATTTATATCAGTTTCGACTAAGCTATCTCGAATGAAATACGAAAATTTAACTTTCGCGTTCCCATTTCATTTTCCAAAGAAATGACACAGATATCGTAAAATGTATCTTTTCAAAATACTTCAATACATCATAATATTGTTACAATCTACATTTGAGCTGTTTTGAGGACAAAAGTAAACGACCAGGTTCTATCGCACTAAAATTCAAATTTATTTTTAATTTATTGATCATATAAACTGTACTAGCAAGGATACGCGAAATGTATTAACACTCAGCTTAAAATTGCATTTAATTAAAGTTTGTCGAGTTCACCACGCTTCTAGATACAATGCCGATCGGGGTCGCGAAGATTACACCGCTGAGATAACACGGTATCTTGGCGAGATGAGTTTCGCACGGTCGATACTGCGTTACAATATCAGAGGCGACATACTAACGGGCCACCGTACTGATATCGTATGTCGTTAAAAAGGCAAGGCTGCCTTTTACCCGTCGCGGCACGATCATCAATAAATTCGACGAGCTACGTGATGGGGCTTCGTTACAATTTACGGCGGAAAACCGATTTACACCGATGTGTAAATAGCGACAAATAGATGATATTTTCATATAGAACGATGCCGTGATCGGAATCACAAGCTAATCAGGTATATAAAATCTCTTTTTGCCTTCCTATATAATACGACATAATTTTCATCAGACAGGCAATTCATTGTTTAAAGAATGAAAGACCGCAGATTGTAGACTGCAGATTATTTCATTGCATGATAGAAGGAACATACATAATCGACGTGCATCGACATATACATATTTCAATTTTTAAATATACATTTAAATTTTTATGTAAAATCTTACTATATAAAAATTATCACAGTTTAAAAAAACATAAAATGTCAATGTGATTATTATGAATATGCAAGTACTACAGTATATGCAGTATAATCTGTTCTTTTTAATTGTTTATAATATTTGAAAAATCCTGAAGTTTGTAATATATCTATATATGTATTGTATATTATATTAAATATATGTATATATAATTTCTTTACATTCATAAATAAATTTCGTGTATATATTTTATATTTTCACATCATTACGAGAAAAAAAATCACAAAATTGTCAGTCACAAAATTATATTATTCCAAACTAATATCAATTTTTTATTAATATTTGAGTTTATAAAATAAAAAAAAAGTGATAAACTACAATAAAATGCAAGAAAATCTAACTAAAAAAGAATAGACTAATTGTAAAATTAATTGACGCATTCAACATTTTGCGTATCTCAACATTTGAACGCATTCATCGATGTATCTTCCGCTGCAATTGCATCTGCAAGTACATTCGGAAACGGTCTAGTAATAATAGAGTCTTATTCTACGTTGATTGCAATTCATTTCACTTTACGCAATATGCGATATAAAATTCATAGAGTTGCAATTTTATTTAATTTAATAGTTAATTAAATAATCAAATATTTATATATAAATTGTTAATATAGTTAATATATATAACAAAGTTAATATATATAAATTGATTAAAGAGTTTTATATGTCTATCCTACTTCACTTTATGTATATCACTTCACGTGCAATGGATGCGCGAAATTCACAATTTAACATCGAAATCTTGTATTTATGACATAAAAAATGTTAAAATTTTTTAAATAATAATTTATAGTAAAATATTCATAAATTAAATTTAAAATACACATTTATATATCGTAAAATAAAAAACTTGTGAATTCTTGTAACGTAATATAATATAAATTTAATTTTGCTTCGCAAGAGCGTCTTTCCGATTTTTACGAAGATTGTCTCAGCTATTCCTTCGAAACTCAATTACATAATTCCTCTTTGCGAGAATTATTCTATAAAGATCGCAACATTAAATGTACATCGTAATATCTCTGATGGAAAAATAATTTTCAAATAAAATATTCACAAAATTTCTGACGTTATCACGAAATTTATATAGCAAACTAATTCAATAAAATCTTTAATTCAAATTTATATATAATTATAATTATATAAATATAATATTATATCATAACTGTACAAAAACTTTATTTTACAAAATGTTTATTTTTCTAAAATTTATCAACAAGTCCAAAATAATCACAATTTCTACAAAATTTTATAATTTCCATAAATCTAATTCTACAAAATTTATAATCGTATATATAATAATGAAATTAGATTAATAATGATATTAAAAAAAAAATAAAAATGGAAAATTAAACGGGAATAGTAAAACTAAAAATACCATAAAATCTAAACGCGCCAGAATAATTGCTATTTACAAAGTTCAGGCGTCAATTTTGACATTATATAGATACAAAAATCTTTGCTAAAGAAATCATCAGGAAATAAACAGTATAACTTACAATTACTAATAATCATAAAACATGAAATTTATAATCAATCATATCATGTTATAAAAAAAATTAAAAGAAAACCTATAAAATTTGTATAGTCATTTCTCTTTTTCCATATTAAGTTTTTAAATCTCAAATATCAGAAATTTTGATAATTCTACTTTAAACATAACATTACTGATAAATATATTTTCCAAAACGCGAAGTGTGACGTACACCGTTTTTTAGTTCAACTTTTCTTATACAAATTTATACATCCATATGCGAAAATCTATACGTGAAATACATCACACTGATTTGTTATATAAGTTGTGTTCGGAAACTTTACTCGAGTGCTTTAGTATGTCATTCTATCTTTATCGTTCATTTTTATCGTTAGTAAAATAACATGATGCACTCAGGCACTCAGTAAAATTTCTAAATATAGTCAATTAACCATAATGATATTGGTGAAAAGAAACTATCTCCTATGCCCCAAATTTTACTCACCAATACCGTCAACTCCAGAACCGATCTCGCAGAAATAGATCTGTAAGAAATACATTGCCGATTAGATTTTAATTGAACATATTTAATATAAAAGTTTTTTTCTATAATATAATAATATAATACAAAATAAAATGTTCATGTCCGCAAAAATTTAGTAATTATTATGAAAAATATAATATAAATATATTAATAATTAATGATTAATAATTAAACAATAAATAAAAAATAAATATAGTAATCTTGAAGTAATTTCGATTTAAGTAAAAATTATCAAATTTTTCCGCAAAAAGTATTGACTATTTAAAAAATCAAGAAATATCGATTTTCGCAAAAAAATGCTATACACACACACACAAACACACACAAATTTTTATAAACATAACTTTTTATATATTTAAACATTTTTTTTAATGCACTTACATCAAATATTAAAAATTTATATAATTGCTTGATAATATTAAAAGACATTTAAAATTATTAAGTTTGAATCGTGAAAAAAATATTAAAATAAATACGACTTTTTTTATCTTCAAGCTAATTCTGTTTAGCCCGAATCGGATTTTTCGGAGTGTTGCATCTGCATCAATTTTATATTTCATAATTTCTCACTCCTTTGTAACATTGATTATGCGCGAGAAATACCTATAATATTTGACAAAGTAATTAATTTTTAATAATTTTATCTTATTTTTGTTAAAAAATTACTTGTTTATATTTCAAATTAATTAATAATAATACAATAGTTAAATAATTCGTCAAAAATTTTATGTTATATTTGATAGAATCATTTATCATTATATAGTCACAATATATCTCACATAAAAATATTTATTATCAAATTTAATTCAGGAAAACATTTTTAAAGAATTAATATCAATATATGTATACTATAATTTATTAATACCAATAGAAATACTTTACTATTTATTTCAGTAATGGTATTTACTATTTTACATAATAATTGTTATGTTAAAAAATAAAATAAAATTTCAATATATTAAAATAAAATAAGTATAAAATAAGAGGAATTATTAAATATGTTTTTCAAGAGAAACTCTGTTGTATCTATTAAATCATCAATATTATAATTATGATAGGATTATTAAATTACTATAATATAATATAATGATATTAATTATAAGATATTAACAATAATCTTTTACGCCGAACTATGGCTTATTAAGTAATCAATGTTTCTATATCATATTTCCTATTGGAAATATAATAAACTATACATATTCATTCAAATATCTCAATATTTATCAATTATACACTATACATATCATATATGCATATATGTTTTTATATTATTATAGAATAATATACTAAAATAATACACATATATATGAGAATAATATATATCATTATATCAGTTAGAATATTTATATAAAACTAGGATGTCAATTAATACATATTAAACGAAAACACAAACCGGAATTATTACAATTAAACAACTGCCATTTTTGAAAAAACTTTCCTTACATCTTGATACCAAAGAGAGTCCTGTCGCAAGTTTATCTGAACCGAAATAAATAAAACAGATGTATTTTTTGTACGTATCGACCCTCTTCTCTGCGTAACGCGGCGAGAAATTCAGAATGTAATGAATTTGTAACGAATATATAAAAGATGAAGTTTTTACGGGTACATGGAAGGATAACGATTCTGCTCAAGTTAAATTTAGATACATGTCTCATCACTGGGAATTTACCTTAATGCTGTAATTTTCAGTACCGACAGTAAATATAATCGAAACGCAACTTTTGATGATTCAAACAAAATTATTTTCAGATCTGTATCCAATTAAATTTTTTGATATTTCAGCAAAATCATTCTTTCCGTGTATTTTTATACGTGGCGTTTATAATTTTACCGTATTTTTTTTCACAATTTTACCGTAGAAGGCCGACAAAACAAAGAAATTATTCCGCAAGACTCGAAATCTAATAAAGTGCGTTCCGTTTCACGCATGACGTATCACTTTCTTTAAGACTGCATTCGAGAATACACACGAGTGTCTCCAGATATCAATTTATCTTGTTTAACACCCCGCGAATAACAAGGATAAAAGGATTCTTGGAAGCATTCGATGTACATTCTCGAATGCAACGCAATTCGAGGAACAAGAATAAAATGCTACATTATGCGTATCACGCGTGAAACGGAACGCACTTCTAAATTATTACGAGCATCTCAGAATTCAGACTCTTTCAAATATTACGAGCTTCTCATATTCCCATATCGTTTAATCATACATACTTTTAAGACTGCTTCACTCAAATAATATATTTTTTCGAAATACAAAATTGCACTTACCTGTTACTTATAAAACAACGTTAGAAGACGAAGAGGACACGAGAATACGAGGCGACGAGGCAACGCGGCGACGCCATGTTGCGCGCTTCTGACGATGTTGCATGACGTCACAGTGACGTCACAGTTAACGGTTAAATTCAAAAATTTCACTCGAGTGCATCCAGGTATCATTTTATCCTTATGATCCACTTTAACACATTTGATGAACAAGGATAAAATGATAACTGGGTGAAAGCTTTGAATGTGAAGATATAATCGTAGCGTATTTAAATTTGTTACAATATAAACTTGTCAAATTCAAAAACTCAAATATCACCAATAGTGATTTTGTTGAGAAATCATAGTGTTAAAAAGCATGTATGCTTTAAAATACAACAATTGTCTGTAAATTGTATATGTAAAATTTTGTTTTGCATATTAAATCTAATGTTTTATATATCATAATCCAAAATTTACTTATTTAGGTTTTAACAAATATCACCTTATAACAAAATATAAAGTATTTAAATAAAATTTTCCAATTGTTATACAATGATTGTTTATTAAATTATTTTAAATTATTTTTAATTAAATCAATATTATTTTTAGTTAAATCAATAATAGTAATATAATAGTAATAATAGGCTCATATTTTAGTTTCAAAATTTATACTTAATTTATACACAAAAATATTGAAATAAAAAAAAGCATAGAACACTTATCACATACTTGCCATAATATTTTAATGTTTTTGTGGATATCGCACAATAATATTCCTATTTATTAAAAAATGCAAATTATTGTACTCAACAGAAAAAATTTAAGTAAACAAAATTTTTTAAATACTTTTAATTTTCCATTAAATGAAATTCTGCTCTTGAAAGTCAGTTTTGTAAATAAAAAGTTTTTTGTAAATAGCAACATTGTTAATACGAATATATGTTATAAAAAATGTTTATGGTATATCACAACGTTTTTAATCATTAATAATGGAATATTGCTGCAATTATATAAATAATTTACTAGACATTTTAAAAAATTCGTGAATCCAAGTTCTATTTTTTAAGTTCTACGCAAGAAAGTGCTAAACGATAAGTGTAATTAATTAGACGATAAAATAAATTTGAAAGTCTTATTAATAAATTTCAAGTTTTATCTTGATTTTACATTTTAACTTCTAAAGAATTTGCAAGACTCAATTATTATTTGAATTTCACATATAAATTAATATATATTTAAATTTAAGTAATATTTTACGAATAAAATTTTACTAATAAATTCATTAATAAAGCGACATTTTGTATGACATATGTTATAAATATATAATTCCGCTTGAACTATAATAATTAATAATTTGTTCTGCAATAATATACGATTCTATCCCTTTCCTTTAAAAGACGCATCCATTGAGATATTCTGTCACACATTCAATTGTAGGGTAATCATATTTCATGCATGCAGTGAATTCAATGTATTCGCTATTTTGGAATGATATGATAATGTCATCAAATACGATTATATGAAAGATTCTCGTATACCTGTGTTTGCAATTCGTGTCTTATCAAATGACAAATGTATGAATCCTAAAATGAACAGCCAAATATCTTTTATTTCTTTGTAAAATTGTTTTTCATATGTACAAAGAAAATTACATGTTAAGGATATTGTGACGTATTTTTCTTTCTTTTTATTTGATAATAACAATTTTCCTTATCAATTTTCATCATATAAAATGTCATGTAGAAAACCATTAACAATTTGGTCTTATAATTATTGTTGCTTTAGTTCTTCAGACACGTGAATTTATTACAATAATAGACATTTATTGTCTAAATAAACATGTTTAGCAATATACTATTAAAATGAATATATATATAAATACCAAAACTTTGGATGTATCGTTAGAATATATAAAAAATATAAAATATATTTTTTTATATATGTTAAATGAAATTAGTTACTAAACATATATATATTCCCGAAATAAATTGCAAAATTCTGAGTTTATGATTTTTTTCTCATCCTTAAAACAAAAGAATGCAGTTATAGTAAGACAGACTTTAGCAATATATTTCAGAAAGTAAAAAGAATAGATACAAAGGAACAAAATATTAGTCAAATATTAGTTAAATATTAGTCAAATATTAGTAAAATGTTATACTCAACTTATATACTTTAGAGAGTCTTCCATATAAAAATAGATATAAATAAAAGTTTTCAATTTATTTATTAATAATAATATTGTACTGTAATAATAATTTATTACTACTGTGTTTCCATTCATATATTCTTTGAAAAATTTTAAGTTAATTACGAAAATTTAAATTTTTATCTTTATCTATATTTCTTCGTATTTCTTTTTAATATTAAATATCTTCTTTTATTTCTAAATTAATACTTCATTAAAATAAAGCCCATGTAGAATTAACTGTATAATGAAAATGTTATTATTTACATAATTTAAAGTGAGAGTGAGAGAAAAATCTGTGATACACTGGAAATACAGTAGTAATGAGGCTCGCTATAGTACACCACAAACTAAAAAAAGCTCTAATAGAAAACATTAATAAGAAAATCTATAAAACAAAGAGGAACATTTTTAAAGAATTGACAACAAAAATGATAACAAAAAAAAACGTAAAAAATCAAGTATTAAGTACTGGCTTATCAAAATATAAAATTATTTGTAAAATCTGACGTCACTTGTCAAATCATACATCGAACAATGTTACTACGTTATACTTCTGTGATGTTCATGTCATGTACGATTTTCGCAATTTCTTAGTAGCAAGTTCTCAGTTCTAAGACATCATGGTCAAGAAACCAATTATCAATCAGACTTACTAATCATGAAGAAGCATATGCCTTTGAAAAGCGCGAAATCTGACATATGATTTTGAACATTTTTTACAAATATAGTTCTTCTCCAATTTTTCGTGGAGACCATGTGATACATTATGCACTAACCGTAAATGCTGAGCTAATGATGATTTATGTCTGTAAATGTGTTAAAATAATATCTGTACATAAATCATACATTCAACATGTATTTATAATGTATTTACAACTATCAAACAGCAAGCAAGAAGCTTTACCTCTATATTCTTACCTGTACATTTTATTGCAGATATGACAAGGAAAATTTTCCTTGTAAAAGTAACAGTGACTAAAATGTTTCCATAACTGATGCTTTTTACTGAACAATTTTCCACATTGAGCACATTGCATAACATATAAATCTGGAATAAAAATATTACAGATATTTATTAAGTAAGTAATTCAGATAATAAAAACTTAAAGTAATTTATTGTAATTATTTTTTTTTCTATCTTTTATATTTACCTCTGTTGTTTTCTGGTATCTGAGGTAGATAGGTAGAATTGGAAACAGGTGCATTCGATGAGACAGCGTTTTGAATTAGTATTTCATCTTGAGAAATTATTTTATTTTCCTTCATCGAAAAACTGTCCAAATTTAAATAATTAGGGATATTTATTTCATCAAAAGTTTTTGAATTTTCCATTGTTATTTCATTAGGATATGTGACAAATGCTGCAGGACATGATTCTACACAAATATCTTTTCTATCAATATGGGAAGGCTGTAAATTTTGCGATTCATTTTGATTTATGGATGACATGTTTGTACTGCTTTCAATTAGTTCTGTTGTACTACATGCATTTTCTTTCGTTGAAATGTTCTCGTCAAATTCTTCATAAAAATTCTTTTCAAAGTCCATTAAATTACCAAATATATGAAAATAATTATTAATATAAAAGTCATAAATATTTGTATGCAAATCACATGCGAAAAGCTCTGCTTCCATGTCGTCATTGCTCGTAGAAGTTGATACTGGATCTTCATAAAATATAATATCTTTGTCATGTGACATGCAATTTGCACAAGAACAAGAATATAATATTTTGGATCCACATAAAAAATTAGAGCCAATGTAGCTGTCTATCGTTTTTCGTTGCAAATTATTCTCTGTTATTGGAAACTCATAACTTGTAATATCTTTTTGGATAGTTTTGGGCTGCGTTGCGTTGATCTCTGTCGATTTACCAGAAATAACATCGTTGAGATTTATATCACATTCTTTTTCGAATTTATAAATTTCGTTGTTACAGTAGAAAATATTAGATGGCTCGACCGGTTCTGTTGCAACGTCATTTAAATCATTTACATTTATATTTGAAAAATTAGGGTTGTAAACGGAAAGTTGTTGTTGAGGAAGTATATCATTCTTCAAAAAATTATTAACATCTTGCATAGCGTTTTTCATATTCATATCTGGAATAGTAGTTAACATGACTGGCTTTTTACGTGACACTTGTGTTTTCCTGCTAGATTTACGAGCTGTTTTTTTTTTTAAGTTTTTATTGAACGAACTTTTCTTTTGCTTGTTGTTATACTTTACGTTTTTTTTCTTCGTTGGTGTATTTTTTTGACAACTTGGTGATACATTTAATGTGTTTAACTGACTAATTTCTTGCAGTAGATTTTTATTTTTGTTATTGTTGCAATCAGGAATATCGTATTGAACATCCAATGGATTGTGCACTTGCTTTCTTTGATGATGCGATTTTGGTAAAGTGATTTTATTATAATTGGCTTCCATATCTAAATCAATGCTAGATGATGTATTTAATTCCCAAGAAGAATTTCCGTCTTCTGCACTGGAGGTACTTGTATCGGTTTTGTTCAATAATTTATAATTTCTAGATGTTTTTGTGTTATTGCTTCTTAAAATATTTGGTAGATTTCGAAGAAGCTGCACATTATGCAATGAAGCTTGGTTTGCAATAGTTTTCTCCTCAGAGATATTTGCATCTTCCATAAAAATGGTTTTGAAGGACTTCATAGATGATAAACCTACTTCAATATTCATCTTTTTCCTGGTATTATCACAATTCTGTGCCTGCATACTCTGCTGTGACATATACGAACCTTTAGCCAGTAAACAAAATAATTGATAGAATATTTAATAAATATTTGCCTATTCTAATTTATAAGATATCTCAAATATGAAAGATAAAATAGTATACTGAAATATTTGTCTATGGTCAACTGTTATATTTATGATTGTTATCATAATCTAATTAAGACAATAAAATGTTTTACGGTTAACATTTCAAAGAACTTTGCTATGTACGTAATTAAATACAATTTCTTAATCCCTACATTACTTAAAATCATAATAAAAGTCGAGTATATTACGGATTTATTTAATATCATGTTAATTATTTATTTGTAAATAATAATGCGTTCACATAAAGATCATTTAAAGGATGTAAACTATCATTTTATATATAATTATTAAAAATTATTTGTAAAATTTGTAAACTGTATTTATTTCAAAAAATTAATATTTTAAGTTTTACATATTTTGACATTTTATCGAACCATCAAATTACATAAATCAAATACATAAATTAATTTTAACTATAAAGTCTCTTTCCCAATTTTTTGTTTTATTTTATTTATAACAAAGATTTTATAAAGAAATATAGTTAAAACATAACTTGATTACATTTTAAAAATGTAACTAACATTCTAACTTTAGAGGAATAACGCAAAAAAGTAAAGTCAAAGATCACCTTCGCAAAAAATCAGGCTTTAACTTCTCAATTCTTATGAAAAAAATCTGTTAATTTAAAACTTCACTATAAAACTCGAGACATATCCTCGATAAAAAAAGATCTATTATCTATTGTTTAATTATTGTCGGATTAAAACAATAAAATGTTTCAAAATTTTATCAGCGTTTCAAAGAATTACTATAAAAATACAATCTCCTAACGCCTAGCTTATCTAAAATCATAATAAATATTCTCACGTAACAGTCAAGCATATTATATGCATATTATTTAATACAACACTGATAAATCAAAGCATCAAGAGGACAAGATCGTCACTATTTTTAGAACTTCGAGTGACTCACAAAAAGCACTGAACTGAACAATAAGCATCGATCTAATCCGGAATACACTAAAAAAAAAAAATTCTGCATGCATACCGCATACCTTCCAAGAAATCGAAAATCGTCAATCAATTAAAAACTTTTGTCGGAGATCCGATAATAAAATAAGAGGAGGGAGGGGAAGGTGAGCGTCAAAAGCACTGTCACAGCACTGGCTTTGTTCTTCCTGTCTCATTCCCAGGGCAATTCGCCGGTGATGAAAAATTCGTCGTAACCGCGAGTGACACGAAATCCAAGCCCGTCTTTCGTTCGCGCGTGACTGACAATAAGACTCGTAGTGACAAAAAGCCGCTCTCTCAGCCACTAAACAAAAATCGTAACCTGAGAAGTCCTTGAGGGAGCGGTAATCGCATGAAAAAAGATATCCTATGGGCGCCCGCGAATGTAAACAAAGTCGCCCCGTAGCTCGGCAGCCTTTTTTTCTAAACGTTCGCTACGTTGCTACGTTCAGACGGCAGTACTGGCACTCAAAGGCGCCGCGCATAAAAAACAGGATATATATATATATATCCTGTGTGTAAAAGCGCTGAAAACAGTGAAAACGTCCAAATTGGTTTTTTTCCATTACCCCCCAGGATTGATTCTAAACACTACTTACAGCTTCATTTTTCTTCTTTTTCTTTTCACGTTGGACAGAATTCGAGAGAAAGATTAATCATGCAAGAAGATCCATCGTTCAATCCTGATGGAAAAAAAAACAGGCTTACAGTACGATTCTAATTATAACGCAAGTCGACACAATCGTAAAATACTGTGATATTTTTTGACTACATCGTCGTAAAACATCACTTCCCGAAAGCAATTATATATTTTATTTTCCATTGTTATTTATTTTTCTATGAGTGACACTCCGATAAGAGATTTCGAGATTACGTTCGAATGTGTTCGGTCCTAGCTATACAACAATCTTTTCCTTCACTCTCGCAGTGAAATAAAAAAGCTGAACAACGTTTCAGCTATTACTGTGTCACACTGTGTAAATGTTTTCTGTTGCTGGAAAGCACTCAATACATACCTCCGTATTTGCATCGTACGTAAATACATGGTTCCCAAAATTCTAAACCGAATGTTTTGAGGTTTCGAGATAAGTGTTTCTATAGCTTCTGTTTGCTTCCATGCACGTGAAATTTGGTGTGATGGACATTTCTTACCGTCTCAAGTGTTACTCATTTGGAGATTCGCATATCTATCTTGCTTTCGCGCTTCGCGACGACCGACAGCGATATACTACATATATCTAATTTGCGTTATTCGCGATCAGAATTCAAGGCATTTCAGATAGGATTGCCGTCATCGCCACACGTAACTTATGAATTCGGATTCGAAGTTAAGTACTTATGCGTCTCGTTTGGTCGCCGGTCGCGTCGCGTAAACGAATCGCACATTGCACGACGCACGATACGAAAAAACATCTGAACTCGGAATGTGCACGTACAAGAGTGTGTTTCACGCATAATGCATGATGTATTATTTTATCCTTCTTTATTCGGCGAAGAACAAGGATAAAATGATACATCGTGCTCTTGCGTAAAATTAAACGCATGCAATTATAAAATGCACAATGCAAACGGCATATTGAGGAATGAAGATGCAATCCACTCGCTGCAAATACTTCGTTGTTTAATCAGAAGAAAAAAATTGACAAATGTAAATGGGATCGCATTCTAAAGTTGTAAATAGCATTTTACTATGACATCTGTAGAACATCTAAAACGAGACTTTAAAAATATTCGTTGCTTCCTTCGATGTTTTGGTGAAAAATTAACGAGCAATTTAATTTAATTTGTAATTTTTTTCTTCGATTCAAGAATTAATGTATTATATGGATCAACTGAATTCTTGGCGTTCAAATTGGAATCTTATTATTATAACAATATGTAAGCAAAAAAAAAAAAGAATTTAATTATATCAATTCCTAAATATTAATTAAATTTTGTCAATTTGCAAAACAAAGAATTGATATGTATATAAATATATAATTTCGATAATTTTAAATTCAGTCACAAAGATTTAAAAATAATTCTTTGTTATTTTTAAAACCGAGCGTACATTGTTTTTATATCTGTAACGTTAAAAGTGAATATATACATATCTAACATTATATAAATTTTAAATACAATTTTAAAAGCTTATTGATTCTCTCTAGTTGGTTGTAATAAATCCTTTATTTATATTTTTCTGATAATTTCTATTTAAATTATTAAATAGATTTCTTATATATACAGTTTATAGAATAAATGTAAAGTGAGATAACATTGTAATAAAATATTTTATTAAAATGAATGTATAGCAGTTTTGAAAATAGTACTTTTATAAATGACGAGGCATAGTAAAATAAATAAAATGAGAAACATTAATTTGATAATACTTATTATGCATCAATCTCTTAATGACTTCATAAAATTACCAATCGTTACCATCATCATTTCCGTTTTTCAAACTTGAAAATAAAACATCATTGATCTTGGGTCGAGGATCCTCCTCGATCTTCGTTGGTATTGCTTCTGTCTGCCCCAACATCCATTCTAATTCTATGTAACAAAATAAACAGCACAATTATTTCCTTGTACATTTTCTTTGTGACACTTTGCAATCAAGCAAGTATTACCTGCTTCAGACAATTTCATGCCACGGAATTCGAGCGGCCCAATAATTTGTTTCACCATATTTCCATCGTGATAAATGAATATTGTAGGAAGATTACTGTCGGGCCAGTTTGGGATGCAAGTGGTAGAGATACTTTTCAAAAATTTAGTGGCAGGAAACTTTCTTGCTAGATTGGCAAGATGCTGATTGACTAGAGTACAGAGAGGAATGCTGAAAATATATTTATATTATGAGTTAATTTCATGGTTGTGTTCACTAATAAAGGTTTGTTCTGCTTTGCTTTATCATACCCAGATTTGTAAAGATATAAAATAACCCAAACATCTTCACCAGCATTATTAACTTCCTTAACATAATCTTCTGCAGATATTTCTCGCACCTCTCCATATTTACACTTGTTAGCTAACGCCTTCATTTCTGCTATTCTCTTTCGTCGATATTCCTCCAGAACTCGTTCATCCTCTTCGTCTTCTAGCTCATCTAATTCATCCAAGGTCTTCTCTTCTAAATTGTTACAGTCTGTAAAAATTGTGAATTTGTGAGCCAACGATAACACATCGATAAACATTAAACTATAATTTAATAATTGGATATTAAAAAACATAATCACCACGTCCTGTTTTCTCATCTATTGTACTTTCCAACAGATTTACTATCTGATCCTCAGTAACTTCCTGTTCCTTTTCCTTCTCAGGTATGATACCTTTCCTCCTAAGGATATCATTCCATTCGGTGTCTTCATTTGGATCTTGCTGAAATTAACTTGAAAAGTTATCTGCTTGGATAATACAAAACGCAAAAATAACTAAATTTTCTTCTTTATATTACGAAATAATATATTAGAAAATATTAAAATGAATATGTATAATTGAATATGTAAAATTTAAATGAATATATATACATATATTTTTTTTTCTACCTAAAGTCATGCTACCATATAAGGAATCACATGTTCGTTTATTATAATTAACTTCAGCCTAACCTCTTAGCCTCCAAAATGCTCCAATTTTTATTAATACTCACCATTTTGAGAGACTGATATTAAATACTTCTATTTTATTTACTGGAAACTAATTCTGCTTTTTGTATTCTTTTAGAAAAAAAATTTTTTTAATGTATACAATTATTGCAACGAAAGAGAAACTAGCGACAACTCTATTCTCAACTGATCGACTACATGCTGCATGCTGCTAGTGCTGCTACACGCTACTTATGCACACTTATGCCTGACACACATACATGCGTGTCAGACTATTATTGCTATGTTTTGTACGTAGAAATTGTATGCTACAATATATGAGAAATACATGTCAAGTATCTATCAAAAAAAAAGTGATAATGATTTTTATATAAGATTAACTTGTGCAATACACTATCTACATTTAGTTACTAATCATAATTATTATTTATGATTTTATATAGTGTTATATAAATATAATTTAGATCTTTTTTATCAATTTGATAAAATACATATCGCTAAAATACACTGCACAAGAAAAACAGGATGTATATAGAAATGACAAAAATATGTTATAAAGTTTTATTAAATTTATCCGATACAATTGTAAAAATTGATATATTAAATTTTGCTATGTAAAATAATAATATCTTAGAGTATTTGTAAAAATAATCTGTCATGTTCAAGTAATCACAATAATTACAGTATACAATTAATTACATTAATTATAATTATATATATAATTTTTAATATATATAAATTTCAAACTAATACAAGTATTAAATATATATAAAATAATAGTTTATGCACTTAAGTTTTTTCAATTTAACTCATCATGCACACATATTAGATTATTCTCTTGGATAATGATTTCAATATTAACCATAATTCTCAATATTGAATTAAATTCAATTTATAATATTAACAAGACAACCATACAAGGGCAAGTCAATAAGTTCTTAGAAAATCTGTCAGAGGGCAGTATCATGTCACATTATTTTTTGACAAGTAGCATCTTTTAGTTGATTACTGTCAAATTTTGAGCGGAATTCATCGCGTGGTTTCATTTATGTAGACGATTAAAGCGAACAATCTTTGTATTTTTTGCAAAATGGAAAAAAACGAATTTCGTGCAGTAATCAAACATCTACATATGAAAGGTTTAACGCCGAAAAAAATCAAAGCCGAGTTGGATAATGTTCATAGCATATCTGCACCAGCGTTTGCGACTGTATACAATTGGGTAAATAAATTTAAACGTGGTCATACATCCACATGTGATGCACCTCGTTCGGGACGTCCAATTGAGGCTACTACGCCAGAAATCATCGATAAAGTCCACGATATTGTTTTGATTGATCGACGAGTGAAAGTGGATGAGCTTGTTGAGGCCATAGGCATATCACATGGCACAGTGATTTCAATTTTGCACGAACAATTGGGTATGAAAAAGCTATCGACAAGATGGGTGCCGCGTTTACTCACTGTAGACCAAAAGCGCGACCGTGTGACGATTTCAAAACAATGTTTAGAGATGTTTCAACGTAATCCAGATGAATTTCTGCGTCGATTCATTACTGTGGACGAAATATGGATCAATTACTTCACACCCGAAACGAAGGAACAGTCAAAACAATGGACTTCACCGAGTGAACCAGCTCCGAAAAAGGCGAAGATCATGAAGTTGGCCGGAAAGATGATGGCCACAATTTTTTGGGATGCATGCGGTATAATTTATATCGATTACCTTCCGTCGAAGCAAATGATCAATGGCGATTACTACGCAGCCTTATTGGACCGTTTCAATAACATTTTAAAAAAAAAACGTCCCCATTTGGCGAAGAAGAAAGTGCTCTTCCATCAAGACAATACACGGGTTTACACGTACCCGGCAGCGATGGCCAAATTCAATGAATTCCGCTATGAATTGCTTCCCCATCCAGCATATTCGCCAGATTTAGCCCCCTGCGACTATTTCCTGTTTCCAAATCTGAAGAAATGGTTCAAAGGAAAGAGATTCACCAGAGAGCAGCTCATCGTCGAAACAGAAGCTTATTTTGAAGGGTTGGACAAATCATATTATTCGGACGGCTTGAAAAAGTTGGAAAATCGTTGGATTAAGTGTATCAAACTAAAAGGAGATTATGTTGAGAAATAAAAATAAATCAATAAAAAAAATGTGTTTTATTATGTTTTTCTAAAAACTTATTGACTTGCTCTCGTACAAACAAGTTAATTTTATTCATTTATTCCATTAGATACTATAATCATTATCTTTAAAAATAGATTCAAAGTTGTGGATATGACGAAATTTAGAGCATTCATGATTAATATTTGTTTTGGCACTTTACTTGAAAGTCGCATATATGTCAGTCTTTATGTTTGTATATTGTGTAATCTAGAATTAAAATTTGTTTTTTTTAATAAATCCTGCAGATGAGACAATTTTTCTTGTTAATAGTATATATGTGTACTACAATAAATAAATAAAATATTAAAAAAAAAATATATATATATATATATGTTTTATAGATAACTTACAATAAAGATATGTCCACTTGATTAAATAATAAATAAAAAATATTAATAATGACTAAATCTGCGTGTTCGCATATATGGTCATGTATAAATACACAAGACAAGTTCTCAATCAATCAAGAACTGTTTGTATGTATACATCTGTTATTACATATCGTAATATATAAAAGTACCTTAAATAATGCAACAAAGTAGTAACTTTCGGTCAATATTAAGATACTTCGTTACAGAAATGTCTATCTATTTTCGTGACTTGCGTCATTTGATTGTTGATTCTTGGTCTCCACGGGAAGTATAAGCGTAGCAATTGCAGCACACAAAGCGGTTGTCGCATAAGTGATCATGGTTCCCGTGATGGACCATTGTAAAAATACTTGTGCTATGTATGGAGTGATCATAGCACCGATTCGTGCCATAGCGCTACACGCACTTACACCTATACTTCGTAAATGTGTAGGGTATACTTCTGGCGTGTATACGTACGCAGCTTGAAACACACCGGCAATTAAGCCTCTGGCTAGGAAAATGGCAATGGTCAACACTGCTCTACTCAACAAACAGGTTCTGCTTAAAAAGCAAACTACTATGGCGAACATGACTAACTGGCAAGCCATTGTCTTTCGTCTGCCTATTTTCTCGATCGCGAAAACAGTAGAAAATATGCCAGGAAATTCCGCCAATGTTGTCCAAAGTAGATCGATGTAGTCACTACGCCGCAATCGGCAGTCAAGTTGGCATGTACCTTCATTGTTGCTCGTACTCCATGTGCTACATTGCTCTGAGGATGTGTGAAAAAGTTCAGTTGTCATTAATACCACTCCATAGTAGCAGAATGCTGTACTCATCCTGTAAAATATATAATAATACATATTTACATCGTAAATATTATGAATATATTTTATTCGCGAACGTTATACTAAAGTTGCAAAAATATTGAGATAAAGTTAATATTTTTATTATTTAGTTTATTATTTACCATACAAGCCAAAGTAAAGCAGACGTTCTGTACATTTCTTTACTCAGAACATCTTTAAATCGACCATGATGACCTTGATAAAATCTATCCATAACTAGTCTTCCTACAGGCAATGATTTTTTATTTTCTCTAGCTACACGTTCTAATGTTGAAATTGCACGATCTGTTTTTCCAGTTGTCATATCAAATACTGTAGATTCTGGCAGCCACTGCAAATACATGAAATTATTTAATTTCTAAAGTATTTCTAAATAAATGATATACTTAAAAATATCTAAATTTATTACAAACCGGTGTTATTACAGCAAATATAAATAATGGAATGGACGATAATATAAGAAGCCATCTCCAACCAAAATTGGGCATAACGATTAATGCAATCGCCACTTCGAAACAAGCTCCAAGAGCCCAAAAACACTATAATGCGTATAACATATATATTTTATACTGTGTTTAATACTATGATGTGTATTAATCCATATATTTATAATATAAACTTACATCCAGTAAAATAACACATCTTGCTCGTTGTTTTGCTGGCAAAAACTCTGCATACAATGTTACCCTGTAAAAAAAGAGTATGCATCAATGACAACAAGTTTCAAAACAAATTAATTGTTCATCTTTAAGAAACTTATCAAATACTTACGATTGTGGTACACAACCAATAGCAAATCCTACAACTCCTCTAAGCAATAGGATCCAGAGAAAATTTGGTGCCAAAGAACTTAGAAATGCATAATAGGCCAATAATACCGCACACAAAGTTAAAGCTTGCTTACGACCATATCTGTCGCTTAAATTATTCCAAAAAGTAGAGCTTAACATCATACCAAGAAATACTACCTAAAAATTCAATTTCCATAATAATAAACTCGAATATTGTCACATATTTTACAAAGATAATAATACAAATCCAAAAAATACCGTTGTGGTCAGTGCTTGCTGGTATCTAGAAATACCCCAATCACAATGTAAGGATGGACTTAGAATACTCAGTATTGTGATCTCCATACTATCTACCATCCAACAAAGACCCGTGAATAGAGACAATTTTACTTGGAATTTTCCAAAGCCTAATGCATTGATAGCTTGTACCACAGTAAAAGTATCTGTCAATAAGATTTAATTTTTCAACTTAATATAATTTCGCAATTGTTACATTTCTTCCATTACTAAACTGAGATATTTTACATTCATATTTATTTCATGATACTTCATATTCATACATATAAAAGCATATTATATTCCTCTTTAAATGTCAGATGACACATTTTATTATAGCATAAAGTTTATGAAAAATATACACACCTAATTCCTTGTACACATGCATGTCTAATGTACACTGTTGTTAAAGATATTTTACAGCGTTCCATGTTACCACAACTTAACGTAGTCATTAGTAAAACCAATTTTCCCAGTGTTGTGTTATATTATATTCATGCGGTATTAAATATTTACAGGATATGATCATCTTTCGTATTAAAGTTAAGTAAACCCTTCTGTACAATTAGAACACAGCATATAATTAAACACTGCAATATATTACTTCTATACCATTTACATATTTATAAGAGATTTCAGTTTGATGTAACATACCATCAGGTATAACCACAACAGAGGAAAGTTCCATCGACCCTTCAATAGCATTCAAGCTCGTAGGACAACTCGATGTATTTTGTACGCCAACATTTAACTCGGCACCATGTGATTCTTCTAATTGACGATATGGTTCATTAGATTTTTTATCTGGTTCCGACATGGTTATACTCTTTTTTCAATGTGATCACAACATAGATATATTCCCAAATATTCGTTATTATTAGTCACTGACGAAAATGAGCAAATTGGAATCAGCTCTGAAAATGTTTATTGAATCTATTAAACTTTGCATATATAAATACAACTCCCAACATCAAATTTTGTATGCAGCACGCGTCATCACACAAAAATGTCAACTGCTTTGTTGGTTAACCTTTCCGTCGTACAGTTTAATTTGTAACTATCGTACCACTTTTTAACGATAAATTTGTTTAATTTACGATTTAAGAAAAATTAAATAAATTGAAGTAAAAATGAGTAAAATATAAAACACGAAATCTGCAAGCTCTCAAATAGAGGCAAACAAACTTTATCGAATATTTTCATTCAATATCATGAATTTTATTAACTTCCATGTGACTTCATGGAATACGTGTTCTTCCGCGATCGGAACGATGACCAAGTGAGAAACCGATCTCTCGCGAAAGTTCGCAAGATTTTAAAGTTTTCTATCTTTCAGTAATTCCACGTATTTATCAATCGCTGTACAAATACCGATTGTGATAATAATTGAGCTGATGATACCGACTGTGGTACCTACTCCATTGTCCATCAGTCCATGGTGATTTTCTTTCTCCATGGTTTCCTTCCTCCATGGTTTCCTCTACCATGGTCCATGGTGCGTCATGGAAGGAATGACTCGTCTTTCTTCCTTTCCATCACGATGGCGACCATGGCGACTGTTAAGTAAAAACGTGTTAGCACGTGTCGCGAGATTTGGAGTTATTAGATCATAAAAATTTTTGCAAAACTGTTGCGTTATGTTAACGCAACTATGTTTTTGCAAAAAAAGTAGTCGACATTACTGGTTGAATAAGCATTACATAGAATACATAATGCTTACCAAGTGTTTGCTATCCTATGGATCTTGTTAACTATACCGTGATGCCGAATTGCTGTTTTCAACATAGTAAGTCTGTGGTAAGTAATTCTATTAAATATTTCGAATTAACTTAGAATACTATTTACATTGGCTTTGTTCCCAGATTCACTGCTAGTGCTGATCTACAGCACAAATATTATAAATTTTCAGTATTAGCAGTGAATATCGCAACACAAGCAATTCCATTGTTACTATATACAAGTATTTACTATTTAAGTTCCTAACTATATTAATCAATAATTAAATTATTATTTTCAGGAAGAATCTATTGCTTAAGTGTCCCTGCCTCAATTTTCTTATAAAGAAATATCACAGACAGTTCTTAATTTATATCACAAATTGGAATTGGCAAAATACATTCGGCAGATTGGCTAGTACTCGAGGTGTATAGTTGCTATTACAATTCTGAATGGCCATTTGAACTATTATCTGTTGGATCGATTGTAATCTGAAATGCTGGGTAGAGCAGTCATTTTTGTGATTCAGGATTCCAATTTGTCTTCTTAAATTATCTTGACTAATATGTTTATTTCCTAACTAAATTACTTGTATGTAATTTTTTTTGTAGACTGTTCACAGTCAGTCAGAAGATAATTTTAAATAATATCTTATAATGGTCTTTGGTTGCTTGGTCTTTGGCAACCGCGGAGCCTATTTTAAGATATCATTTAAGACTAGCCTAAAATCCGATCATGAATACAAAGTCTGTTTTTTTTTTTTAAACTTTGTGAAACACAAGACTACTATACTGGAAACAGTTTTTGTATCTAAGCCTGTACAAATTATTAAATAAAGATTTTGATGAATTAAATGCTGACCTATCTTAACTTGCCAGATTAGGGATAGCAAGCCCTTTCTTCATCAGTATCAGACTACTAGATCCTCTAGAGGATCCGAAATGCTCATCTATATTCTATTTTTATATAGGAATCGTATCGAAAACAATTGCTTTCGAGAACTGAAGGATTATTCACGTTACTAATTTGATTTCCGAATACGATGAAAATAAATTTGATAATAAATTCTATTAAAAGGCCAATAATTTAAAAGTTATGAAATTTGCTAAAATTTATTTTAACAAAAATATTATAAATCTTAACATAAGCATAATATAACTTTATAACTTCGACAATTCATTTAAATAATTGCTTAAATATAAAGATAGACATCATGTGGTTGATAATTAAACTAAAGTTTGCGAGCGCTACACTTACGTACTAAAATCATACACATAGGATAAACAATATTTCATTCTTCATGTCATCAAACATTATAGCGAACGTTGCAAACGTGTGAAGTAGAATATATCCCTTGTGTATATAACAAAAAATAGGTTTGAACGTGTAGTAATTTTATTATTAAAATATTAATATACAATAAAATACACAAAGATGCACAAATACGCTTTCATACTACAAGTTTTGCGGTAAATATTACATAAATACAATATTAATATTTTAATGAAATATTTAATACATATATTACAATAATAGGCAAGATAGATACACTATAGGAATCTGGATGCAATTGCTATTAATTTAGTATAGTATCTTGTTTCCTTTGCTGTCAGTCTGTTCTTTCATTTTTAACAATGTGTAGAATAGGCATCTGTATTCTTGTATCTAGAAATATGCTGTTGTCGTTTATAAGTACCAGATTGCTATCAAACTTGGGAACTTTAAGGATCTGTTGCTGTTTTAATCCAACCGGGATACCTTTTTTCTTTTCGTCCTTTAGAGTAACTACAATTCTATTACTTGAATAATTCGTACAGCAATGTTTACATAAATTTGTTTTTTCTATAGTGATAATATCTTTTATGTAATCTTTCATTTATTGTCACCGATATATCCCATCCCACGCTTGTTGTAAATGTGTATGCAAGTGATCTATCCTTCATCATAGCTTTCTATCTCGCTATTGTCCACTACTCTTAATCAACTTAATTTAATTATCTGATTCAAAGGTTGAAGTAGAAATATTTTTGCTTGCAATATTTAACTGCAAGAGGCGACAGCATCGTTTTAATTTCCCTTTAGGATAATTTGAAATCAAATAATATAAAATCACATAAAGTATTTATAACGATCGTTTAATCGATAAATTAAATCAGGCTAACATTTTTGGTAATATAATCTCCCTCTTAGCAGAAAAATGATAAACAATGTTAAAAATGATAAATTAAGCGAATTCTCTTTTCTCATTTTTTATTTAGAATACAAATTTTCGGTAAATGTTAAGAAAACCCCTTCCACCTCAAATTTTGATAAAAATATACTCAATCGAAGCGTTTTTACACAAAATGAAGGAATCTGGCAGAAAAAGTGTCGCTCTGCTTTGCGAACCGAGATTCCTTCATTTCATATAAAAATGTATTGATTGAGTGTATTTTTATCAAAATTTGAGATAGAAGGGATCTTCTTAACATTTATCCAATTTTTACATAACCTCAAATTTGCTTATGAAAACAGGTGGATCGTGAATGAAACCATTGGCTGCGTTCAGCGGACTCAACAGTTGAATGAGCGCTCGCTGTTATTGGTGTATTCTTTTAGATCATCCAATCAGCATTTTAGATCTGGAAAAATACATCAATAGCAGCGAGCGCTTATTCAATTGTCGAGTCCGCTGCCAAGAGAATGCAGCCAATGGTTGCGTTCAAGCTGGACAAAACGACTAGTCTGCTCGCTGAGCGATTAAATGTGATTGGTTGGATCTATAAGTAATAATCAATCGTATTCATTTGCTTGGCGAGCAATCTAGCTGCTTTGCCGATTTAAAGCGCTCATGAGGTGCATCTAGATTCCGGAATATTCCAAAAACACGATCGCTCATTCAGCGCTCAGTGGCTTTTGTACATACATACATACATATATACACACATATTGTACGCATTTGCGGAAACGCATTATAAATGACGGTACCAATCAGAAAAGAGAACACTATCCGCTCCACTTTTCCTTGATTCTCTTTGGCATGGAATGTTATGAAGGAAAAGTGAGGTGTTAACAGGCTAGTATATATAAAAGTCTGTGGTTGAAACTGACATTACTTGATCAACTGTGAGAGGTTTAAAGATTAAAATTAATGTCCTCATATTAATGTATGCTTCGTTTTTTCAAAATGTACCGACGAGGTTTTAGAGGCATGTCCTGCTCCTACACACGACATGATAGAGACGGTAAGATCCTCGAATAATCTAAACTCATTTCTAAAATTATTTGTCCTATTTCTTTTCTACAAATACTTTTTTGTCACCTTTTTTCTTTCATTTTTAGTACATTCAATCTGGAGAAACAATCAGCAAGGACTTGGTTCATAAACATTTACATGTGTTTTTATTTGAACTTTCTGTTATAAATTACTTGTGATTAACAATCTCCATTAAAAAAGACTGATTATTTATAAATAATTGTAATTCGATTTTTTATATAATGTAGTTATCTAAATTATATTCCATTATACTTTGAATATTTCATTTTTCGCAAGATTCTTTATTTTGATGTAATTTAACAAAGTAATGATGGAATTGTCTCCATGGAATATTTTTGTAATAATTGTTGTTCATATTAATGAACGATATTATCTTTTGTTGTATATGTAATATTTTAGATCTATGATAATTTTTTTTATCTATTGAATGAAATTTTTAGAAATAATCTAGAATTTATATATATATTAGGTGTTGGAATTAATTCGTAGCGTTTTACAAGAGATGGGAAGTACTTTCATTAATGTATTTTTTAATGCTCATGTGAAATAAATAACATTCTTTCATTAAAAAACGCTACGAATTAATTCCAACACCTAATATATATATAAAGATGTTCTTAAGCAGTTATATTTTTTTCATAAACTTAATTATTGTGAGAGGCTTTATTAAAATAAGCATTAGAAAAATGTCTTTTAAATCAGTCTATAATATCTATTTTTAACAAGATGTTCAGTTGTTTAAAAAATATATGTATCATTTTTTAAATTTTGTTTTCTATTTTTTTATTAAATACTGTGCTGATCAAAACACAAACAAAACTTGAATATTTTGTTCGCTTTTAACCTTGCTTTTTCAAAATCTATTAATTTTTAAACACTCTTACTTTGAACAGATTGATATTTCACCTTTATAATAATTGCTAATAATTCTTTCGTTAAGCTTTGTGTCCACGATGCTAAAAATCAGTCCGAGACCTTGGATAAAAAAAGAATTGAATAATCGCAATCATGTCATGTGATCAAATTGTTCAAATGTGATTTGATTGTTAATTTTTTCTTTGTCCGAGATCTCGGACTGATTTCTGACATTGTGGACATTAAGCAGATAAAATTTAAAGAAAAAATGAAATCTCAAATTTATCATGAATTTTTTAGAACAAATACAATCTACATCTGGAAATGGAAGAACTTACTCACAAGCACGAAGACCTCCTGGACTAAGAGGAAAAGAAATAGGAATGTATTATAGAAACAAAAATAGAGAGAAACAGAAAAAAAAGGCTCCAGAAGTTCTTAAATTGTCATTTCATATACAGCAATCAATTAAAACTATGTTAAATAATGCAGAGAAATATTACAATCCAGTTTTCTGTACAAATTTCGAATCTGAGCAAGATAACAAGTATCATCAATTTCATGACACCCAATTTAAAAGAAAGTTTTTGGAAATTATACATGGTAATATACAGCAAAATCTTGCCAAAGCTATGAATGTAACTTCAAAGTTGCAAAGAAATAGTGATATAGACAGAATATTACAAAATGATTACAGACAAAAGCATAATCAAGATGCTTATAATAATATGTTGAAGTTTCGATTAAAGTTACCAGCATATAAAAAAAGATTAGAAATATTACAATTGATTGAAGATAATCAAGTTGTTGTCATTAGTGGAGAAACTGGTAAGTAGTAAAAGTGATTTATTAGTATAAGATGGAATGTTTTTCTGATTTTTTTTTTTACTTATCTGCATTTATTGGAGCAATGCAGTCAGTAAAAGAAATTTGATTGTAAACATTAAATACGTGTTGAAGCAACTTTCAAATCGTTCAAATTTCCAATTAATAATTAATAAGTTATTTTTAATGATTTAAAAAAAAATTTTAGGATGTGGCAAAACCACACAGATTGCACAATTTATATTGGATGATGAATTAGAAACTGGAAATGGCAGCGTTACTCGAATAATTTGCACGCAGCCTAGAAGAATTTCAGCCATTTCTGTTGCTGAACGTGTAGCTATGGAAAGAGCAGAAAATCTTGGAAATTCTGTTGGCTATCAGATACGACTTGAAAAGTAAATTTTTTAAAAATGTTTATACTTTATGTATAATGGTTTATAGACGTATAATATTCTTTTACTTTTTAAATTTTTGTCTGCAGACAGCCATCACGAGACCATGGAAGTATATTATTTTGTACTACTGGTATATTACTACAAATTATGAAACATGATCCAGCATTAAAAGGTTTCTCTCATGTGATACTGGATGAAATTCACGAACGTACTACAGAAAGTGATTTCGTTATTACATTATTAAAACAAGTTATTCTGAAAGTAAGTTTTAATGATGCCCATATTGTTATTACAATAACGTTACTACATACACTGGATATATATATTTTTTAATAAACACACACACACACACACACACACACACACATATCTTTATTTAGATTGCATTTTATTGTTCTATGTTATTTCATTCAAGGAGTTTAGATATATATTTTTCTTATTATTTTTGGAACATTTTTGTAATATATATTTTTATCTACAAGTCATTAAATCATGTTTTGTAAATTAATTTGTACTTTTT